TGAATGAGCTTTCAGGAAAGACAAGTTCAGGTTTGAAATCTTCCAAGAATGACCTCCAGGTTGTGCAGAGTGAGCACCTGGGTGAACTTTTAGGAAAGACAAGTGCAAGTTCAAAATCTTCTTTTAAAAATGATCTTAAGAGTGTGCAGAGTGAACAGATTGAGCTTTTGGGAAAGGCAAGTTCAAGTTTGAAATCTTCCCAAAATGACCTCAAGAGTGTGCAGAGTGAACAGTTGGATGAGCTTTCAGAAAAGACAGGTTCAAGTTCAGAATCTTTAAAAAATGACATCAATATTGTGCAGAGTGAGCAGCTGAATGAGCTTGGAAAGATGAGTTCAGGTTCAAAATCTTCAAAAAATGACCTCAATATTGTGCAAAGTAAACAGCTGGGTGAGCTTTCGGGAAAGACAAGTTCAGATTCAAAATCTTCAGGAAATGACCTCAAGGTTGTGCAGAATGAACAGATTGAGCTTTCAGAAAACCCAAATGCAAGTTCAAAATCTTCTTCAGAAAATGTCCTCAAGATTGTGCAGAGTGATCAGAGCGAGCTTTCTAGAAAGAAAAGTTTAAGTTCAAAATCATTTTCAAAAGAAGTACTAAAGGATAGTCCAACAGAAAGCCAAATAGAATTAACAGAGGAAGTGGAAGTGGAAGTGGAAGAATGCCGTATTTCTCAGACATTTGATGAATCTGAGGAACAGTTAAGTATAGCAGAGGGAGATTTGTCAAGTGGAAAGAAACATAGCTTCAAAAAGAAGCATCCAGAAGAATACTGTCAGAGTTCAGAAGAGGTAATACACAGTAGTTCCGTTTTAAGTGTAGCAGAAAGTTTTGAAAGCCCAGAGGATGTGTCATTCATAGAACAAATTTCCTCTGAGGCACAAATCACAGAACTGGGCTTGGAGAGCAGCGTATCAATGCTGGACTTTCCGCAAAGTTCACTCACAGTTTGGGATAGTGGTTTAGCTTCAACAAGTCACATAGCATATGAAAAACATTCAGGAGTAGATCAATCAAAATCTAAATCTTTGGTGAGGCACATATATTTACAGACATTTCCTTCTTTAGAGTCTGGCATAGTCAGTGTGATAGAATTAGATAAAGACTATCAGAATCCATGGTTAGATGATGAGACCAGTTCGCCTGAAGAAGGACCCACAATGATGGAAGAAGGCTGGAAATTATCACTGGAGAGTTCAAAAACCCAGTTCCCACAGGATAAGGAAGAAGATTTACCTCAGACAGATCAATTATATACAGAAAAGAATTTTGAAGAAAAAGAACTCGATTCCGGTTTGGAAAATGCAAGTACTTCCGTCGTGCATAAACTTAGTGACTCAGATAGAACATGTCTCAAATCTTTTGTAAGCGATGTCTCTAATGATATTTCCACAGAGAACGTTACTGAATTAGGCTTAACATCAGGGGCAGAGGTAGAAAAAGAAACCCAAACCTTTTTTGTTCCAGATAGTGAAAATGAATTTGAGGAATTATACGCTAATTCAACAATTAGCATGGATAAATCAGATGATTTCAATGCAAAATCTGTTTCAAGACCCAACTATTGCAGTTTTGAAGAGTATCTATCAGGATCAGAAGCAGAACATCTAAAAGCTAATTTTAGCAAATACATCCAGAATTTTGTTGTAGAAAGACTTTCAGAATCAGTACCATCCCCCAAGGAAGATTTACCAAAAATCTTAGAGTACCTTTATCTCATAAATGATAAAAAAGAATCACACACTTCTGTCAAGACTGAAATACCTCCAAAAGAACAAAATAATTTCAAGGATTTTCCAGAAACTTCCCAAAAAAGCATGCCTTCTGTAAATAATTCAAATTGCTCTTCATTTGATGATAAACATTTAGAAATAAGATTAAGAGCTCTTTTAAGTGAAATCCTCCACCAGTATATACTAAATAACCATACAGAAACCAAATTAATCAGGGAAAGACAGTCTGAGAATAGATACCATAATTTACCTCCTTATAGAACTAAAACTGTCCCACCATTTTCACATGAAGTAAGACATGATTATCCAGAGAGGAGTTTTTCTGGAGAGAGTGAACTAAACAAGAGAAGTCCTTTAAGTCAATCCATACAAGACCTTCTATCAGTTATCTCAGAAAATGAACTATTAAATCTAAAATCTGATTTAAGCAAAAGTCTTCAAAGCCTTTTCATAGAAAGACTTTCAAATATGGGACTAATCACAGAAAAGGAGTTCCATAATATTAATGAGAACATGTCTTCAATTAATTCTAGTGATAGACCATTAAAGTTTTTAAGCTCAGATCCGAGAGGACTATACCACTTTCAGGAAAGGCCTTCCGAAAAGCAAAGTTACAAAACTTTTCCAAGAAATAAGTCACAAGAGGTTACTGATGAAAGGCTTTCAAATATAGAACTAGCCAGAAAGTTGGAAAGGGAATATTTTACTTTGCATAATATTAAAAGGTCATCATTGGTGAGAGAAGATGAAGGGCAATATGCCAGAGAAAGAGTTGGAAAACATGGTCTAACAGGAGTAAAAGCTTCAAGAAAAAGCAGCCAAGAGTTCCTATTTAACAATTCATCAGAAAGAACAACAAAACTAGTGTTAAGGGAACAAAAAGACCACAGTTTAATGCAATTGCCACAAGTAGAAAAAACTGGTTTTGAAGAGGAGATCCAAGACCTATATGGCTGGTATAATAGACCAAAAACAAGCCATTCAAAAGCTACTTTGAAAATCAAGCCTCTGGGAAAAAAAGAACATATTAAGACACATAAAGTGACTGTCAAGGAAAAACCTGAGTCAGTATTCATACCATGTGTCCAGAATTCTGAAGTCCAACCAGAAACTAAAGAATATTTATACAAATCCAAGTTATCCTCATCGAGTAATACTTATGCTTATTTAAATTCCGACGATGAGGGAGAATCCAATTTGAAAGACCAGTGTTATGGGGAGAACAACAAAAAGAAGCCCCTATTAACAGTGACCTGGTATCACAAAAAGTTACAAGCTGTTCACGTTAAGGCCAAAGAAACTCCTACTGAAAAATGTGCAACAACCCCACAATCCTTTGACCATAGTAGAAAGGTAGACATTAACAATTCAAAACCATCCATATTCCCAGAAGTCTTAAAAACAGAAAGTTTAAAGCCTAAACTTCGACGAGAAAGAGAATATGTTGAGAAACAAAAACGGCCCCTTTACAGGACAGCTAAGATCTTAGCAGCCTCCCAGCCAGCCACAAGACTGCTTCTAAGGACGTCTCCACAAAGGACACTGCTATTTCCTTGGGTGGGAAAAAGAAATATACATGTAATAATGCTTTTCTTGATCTATTTTTTTTTTATTTTTGGTACAGGCCAGTAAATATTTCACTTTTGTTTTCACCCCAGGAGTGGGGAAATGTATGTATGTACGCATCCTAATTGTCTCAAAATGTAGTAAACTGACTCTCCCCTCAAATCAAATCATTCTTCTGAAAGTCAAACATCATCTTACCTCACACAAAATAAATCACAAAATTCCCTTCAAAGCAGTGCCAACATGAGGTCCCGAGTGCTTGACGACACATTTACGTATTCAGGTTAGGTTTGGGGCCGTAGGGACAGGTGGGAGATATTGCCCTGTATGAGCTGCATTTTCATAATCATTTTGTGGATTATCAACTGCAAATTTTTAGAAGTCCATTCTAACTTCTCTCTGCCCCCCAACATGATCTTGGGCTATCTTCTGCTGAAATTCATTTCATCTTTGTATCCCCACTATGTAACACCGTGCCATACATGGTGGACATTTAATAAATGCTTGTTTAATTGCACAGGATTTAATATTAATTAGTATCACCTTACATGTATATAATACTTTTACAATTTTCAAAGCACTTTCATATCATCTTCATTTGCTCCTCACGACCACCTAATCGGGTTGTCAGGACAGGTTTCTCCAATCACAGATGAGGAACCTGAGGCTCAGGTTGATGACATCACTGAACCCAAGGCCACAGCTAATCATTGTTGGGCTTGGGGCTGGCCTAGTGTTCTGTCCACCACATGGCGTATCATCTAGTCAACCAGCATTTATTAAGCGCCTGTTGGATTTGTGGTCAGGGAATCTGGGTTCAAGCTCCAGCTCTTCCACTTACTACTTACGTGACCTCCCTGGGCCTTTGCTTCCTTAGTTGTAAAATGAGATGGTTGGACTTAATGACATCTAAGTTCACTTCTAGTTCTATGAATTAGGGAGCTAAATCTGTTCAAGAAAAAAAAAAACCTGCACTGAATTGAAAAACTAAGTAAAAAGGTTTAGAGGCTTACTGATTGCTTTGAATTATCTGTGTCACTGCTTTCCTTCTTACACCTGGAAAATTGAAAGTTTGTCTATATTTGAGAAAATTCTCAAGAATTAAGTTTGATGTATAAAATTGACTTATTTGAGTGAATATCTAATGTTTTCTGTTACATGTAAATTATTCCCTTAAATGAGAAATAGAACTTATTTCAGAATATAGTTTGGGGAATATTCTTTTAGTTTGGATGGTGCATTTAACTACTTTATAGAACAAAAAATTCTTACCTTATGCATCTTCCCATAGGGAAAAAAATGTAACAAATGATGCTTAGGTTCCCAGGCCAGGCCACAAAAGGCTACAGAGGGTAGTATGGTAGTAAGAATGAGTTCTGGATCCTGGAATCAGGGGGTCAGTCACACAGTACAAAAGCTTAAATTGGGCAGGAAAAAAAAAAAAAATATATATATATATATATATATATGTGAAATCTTAATGGTTAGAAGGAAAATGGGAAAGTGGAGAGAGGTAACTTCCCACTTTCAATGATTTAGTATTGTGCACATCAACGATGTGTATGTGCTGGTATAGGGGAAAACTAAAGATACATACATACATGTATACGTGTTTATACATAGACATATATACATGCATATCTGTATATACATGGATATATACATACATATGTATGTATGCATGTATATATGTATATGCGTGTGTGTGTATATATATACATATATACATATATATACGTATATATATATATATATACATGGAGAATAGTGAATAGAGAACCAGCCTCGAACAAAGAAAGACCTCAATTCAAATTCCTGTTTCTGACACATACTGATGTATGACCATGGGCAAATCACTTCACCTCTCAGTACTCTAGGCAATTCTCTAAGATTACAGCTAGATTAGTGTGAATAATAAATTCCATGAAGTAATATCATCTATTAGAATTTATACTATTTGAAGTTGTAATTGTGTAAAATATGGCCATTGGTTTCATTTTCATTGGAAATATACAGTGCAAATTTGAATAAGGCAACCACTTCATTTGCACTAATTGGGAACCTAGCTGTATGAATTTCAAAGAAAGCATCCTTTATTGGGAGAGGGAATTTCCTCACCAAGGAGCTATCTATGTATCAGTGAAATCACGTGCCCAATCCTTTCTGTAAGGAAATCCCTTAAAAGCTTAATATTACTCTTTTTAAGTAGTTAAGGATCTTGTTAATTGCCCTAGGGTTTCATGAACAGTGGAATTTTAAAAGTATTTAACTGGGTGCTGTAGAAAGGCACTGAGAAATATGCCTGTAATGTACAGTGGGAAAGTTGAGGAACATCTTTTCCATTGAAGTACTGAATAATTCAGTTTGTGTCTTGAGTAAAGTTGATGGCACACAGAATTGACTGTTAAAAGGACTTTTAGGGGTGGCTAGGTGGCACAGTGGATAGAGCACCAGCCCTGGATTTAGGATGGACCTGAGTTCAAATCTGGCCTCAGACATATAACACTTACTAGCTGTGTGACCCTGCGCAAGTCACTTAACCCTATTGCCTAGCCAAAAAAAAAAAAAAAAAAAAAAAAGGACTTTTAGTTAGATAACTAGCTGGGCTCACTCATCAGGTTCTTTAACATTCCAGCATCCCCAAGAGGGAAACAAATATCACAGCGTACAGGGACCTTGGACTTGGAGGAGCACCCAGTAGATACCAGTCAGGTGATGTGGTTTCCCAAGCCCATACCTTTTGATTCTTAAGTGCATCTATGTATTATAATTATATTACCTACATGAAAAATCCTGCTCTAATAAATATACTAATTCTCTGTCAGAGTATATCTCTGTGTGTAGGAAAATAATTATTTTCATGGATGTCAGAAAATTTTATGTTATTGGAAATAATCTAAAAATTATACAAAGTATTCAGTGGTATGCCAAACACGGTGTACAGGCAGTCCCCAATTTACAATCAGGATGTATTCTGAAGGTTTGTATATTGGTTGTTTGGAAGTTGGGATGCATTTTTTCATGGAAAAAAATGGGAATTTTTTGTAAAGTTTTTGTAAATGGCTGTTAGAATAAGGCCAACCCACAAAAGCCCATTTAATCCACAATCTAGATGAATTATATCACTAACAATATTAACCAAAATTCTGGTTTCTAGGATCTCCTGGATTCATCTAGATGAAGGAGAAACAAATACGTTCTCTCACTTTTTTGCATGCAGAACTAACCACAGTCAAAATGTATAAGTAGGCAAAGCATCCCCCACCTCCTAGTATCCCTCTCACCAAGCTTCTAGTGCTTTCAGACTGCCTTAATCACTCACTTCTCCACTCCCACCCTTAAACACATATAAGATTGCTAGGGTATCAGACTAGGAGTTCTGAGTTTATCTTGGCTCTGTCACACTATATGTCCTTAAGTAAATCATTTCAGCTTGTAGATCCAGTTTCCCTATCTGTATAAAATGAGATTATTGGAAGTAGGAACACAGGGTTATAGATTTAAAGCTAGAAGAGGCCTTACTTAATATACATATAGTTCAACCCTCTCATTTTATAGATGAGACAATCGAGGTTCTTAAAAGTTAATTAACTTGCCCAAGGACACAAAATTTACCCAGCTTCCTACTCCCATTGTCCCAAATTCCCCCCCCAAAAACTCTCATTTTCTTTGTCTCAGCTAGGTGTTAGGGGAAAAAAACCTGATGTGTATAAATTCTCATTAACTTCCCCAAGGAATGAAAATGATGTTCATTAAACCAAATGAATCTTTAATTAGTATAATTTTAGGTGACAGAAGTAAAATTGAAATTTTTCACGAATTATGGGTGAAGATATGATAGGGAGGCCACCAAGTAGGCAGATTAGTCCTGCCTGATTAATTTAGTCCCCAGGCTCATTTACCATTAAGCTGTTGTTCTGTGTTTTTTTCTGTTTAATAGTATTTTATCCATTCTTCCACCCCTGAACCCATAGATCTTTGAAAGTTCCAAATGCATCACCATAGCTGTAGTAGCAAAGATTCAGGGGAGGTGTGGATTAGAGAGAAGAGCAGTAAGAAAAAAATTTGTAAATTGGGGATTGCCTATCTGGCATATGATACTATTCTATCCCTCTAACTGTATAAGCTGTATTCCTTTTAACTCTAAAAAGTCAGATAAGCTTAAATTATTAATCTACTTTGCTTTTGTTTTTAATATTTAGGACTCTTCAGAAAATAAAAAGGAAGATTTACATTTGACCTCATTTAAGCATCTCGAAAAAGCAAAAGCAAGAGCAAGGTTTGATTTGGGAAGAAGCCCAGATGATAACCAATACACATTTAAAAACTTTGCAAGACCAAATACTGCTCCAGAGTTTAACAAACGATCGAAAGAAAACTTGGGGAAATTTACGTCCCCACGGGTGGTGTCAGCAGGGTTATTTCATGTAAATGCTACAAACCCAGGTCTAGAGGAATATAATCAGCAAAAAGACCTAAAAGATCTTGAAAAATGTTCAGTCATTTGTGATATTCTACAGTTGTTAAACAGTTCATATGTGAAACGCAAGTATGAGGATGATTATTAAGTACATCACGAATCCCCCCTACTAATGAAATGAGTATAGGTCAGTCCTCTTATTTAGCAGCTCACTATAAAATTTCATCGTTAGAGTCATTGTTTTCACTGAAATACAAATAAACATTTATGATGCATATATATGTATTTTTATTTATGAGACTGTGAAGGAACTATTGACCATTAATGGTTTAAAAAAATTTTTTTAAATGGAGTGCAGTTTGACATGATTATGCGTGCAGATGGGGCTTTAATCTTAAATCTCAGTCTTCAATGGATAATGACTAGAAAATGCTATTTAGCCAAGAGTCAGTCTTATCTAGGATTGATTGCACTTGAATTTGACTTTGTCTTCCTCCACTTCAGAATATTTCCAACACCTTTTGATTACTGGGCTGTGGGCAGCAACTGATACAGGATGTAATAAGGAAGACAACTTTATCAGAGAACCCCTACTGAGAAACAAAGGCAGCACACTGCTAAAAAGCCTATACATACCCACTAGGACTGGATAGTTGACACTCAACTACTCTTTAATTACCAGCCTGAACAAATCTTGAATTTAGAGCATGCTGTTTTCTAAAACTTGGTGGATAGCTACTTTGAATAAGACCCTCAGATGACCTTCAAAAAGCAATGGAATAGTACTTTAGTGGAGACAGGTCATTTTTTATGGTATTTCAAATGAAATGATGGCACACAGAATTGACTGTTAAAAGGACTTTTAGGGGCGGCTAGGTGACACATTTATTTTAAATTGACTGCCAAAAGGGTCCATGAAACAGGAATGGCTAAAAACCCATTAAGTTCTAAGGGACTAAGTTATCTGTACCTTATTCAAGATAAATTTTGGTGTTTTTTTTTTAATGGACATAACTGAAAGCCTGTATTTACTACAACAAACATGTCCCCACTTAACATTAATTGTGCATGAAAAACCACAAAATAATGTCATATGGGCAATTTCATATGAATAATGGAAAAAAAATTTTATTTTAATGCAGTTCTTAAGTGTGCACAAAGAAACATGAGGCAAATATTTTCCTATTAGGAGAACTTATCTCCATCACAGGACAGTCTTAGATTGCAATAGCCTTACATCAGAAAACCCATTTCCTAAGGCAGTTTAGATAGTATGGAAAGTTGTTGCATCAAGTCTTCACACTCAGATGCACACTCAGATGCAAGAAATTTGCATGTATACTTCCACAATCCCTGGTCTACCACTTAGCATTAGTAGATGGTCTTCAGGGAATTGAGTCAGAAGCAGCTAGACTGTTCCCTCCTTGGATGAGAGACATAGATGTTATCACTAGGCTCATTCTTGAAACAATTCCAGCTTGGTAAAATCTGATTCCACAGAAACATTGGTGTAGGTCTTTCTTGGAGAAAGGCCATCTATACCTTTATGATATTTCAAGTGATTTAATTATATTGTTCATAGCGTGTGGCCAAAAACATTTATCAACTTGTGGCTGTCATAAAGAACCTCTTCAAACATGGCTAGGATGAGCCTACACTGGAAGCCTGATTATATTTTCATGTCTGGATAATATTTCCTGTCTACATATTTTCGCCAGCTTTCTTGTTTCTTGTAAAGAACAAAAGAAAGACATAATTCTCTAGCAAGATAATTACATCAGAAATTTTTTCAAATGTTGTATGGTTAATTATACTTATCAGAGTTTACCACATACCAAAACTAGGCAATCAATTATCTTAAAAACAAAATGTTTTGAGAGACCATAGAATGAGTTGGAAGGGACTCAGAGGAAGATGGGGCACAGAGAAGTGAATTGGCCCATAATTACATTTAGTGTAGCTTCTTAACTTCCAGTCCTATAAATTACACTAATTGTGTATTTCTTCTCTCCTCTGAACATCTATCTGGCTTGGAACTATCTCTTAATTTTTATTTTTCTAAATTCACATTTGTTAGTTATTATTGAATCTGCAAGCCTGCAATATGTGCACCTTTCACCAAATTTAAGAAAAAACATCAAAGAATTGCTTTAATCCTAATTCTGAGGACACCTAGCAGAGAAAGGTCCCAGACCCAGCTATTTTATAACTACTTCAATCCACATAATGGGTGAGATCGTGTTTGTTTTGTAAATAAATGCTTTTAGGAACCTCAAATTGTACTTGTAGCCTAGGATGACTGTTTATTTAAATTGCTTCTGTGACTCATTCAGGGGACTGGATAAATTACATGGAGAAAGCTTGGTGTAGCAAATTATGGGATCATTCATAACAGTGGATCATTCCTGCCCCACCCCACTCCCAACCCCAACTTGAGTCTGATCATTCCTTTGTGACAGCCCAGTACAAAAGGGATTGTGCCTTATGATTTCCATGCAGACTTCTTGTCATTATCAAGCAGCTTGTAGTATCTAGAGACCAGCCAGTGAAGCCAAGCTATTAGTAAAAGAATGGATGCCATGGTCCACATCACCCCAGGGTCTGTAACAAGGAACATTTCATCTTTTTCTTGACCCTGGTGAAATGGGAAAAGCACTACAGTGCTGAATTATTATAAAGTTGCCCTGATAAACATTTTACAATAACTAGATCTCACTGTAAAGTCACACTACCCTCCTGTAACATTGTTTAGCTTATTGCTCATGACATAGTAAAGCTCCTATGGAAAAAAATTAGCTCCTATTAATGTTTTTCCTAACACTTTTAACAAAATGGATTAATGATATAAGGCAAGGGCACACATGTAACATGGTTCTGACCATGATAGCATCATTAATAAAGCAAAACCTCTATGTTACATCACAAAGCTGATCATCTCAGAGGTGACAAGTAGTTGGGTCAAGTTACTGCATGAAGCTCAGTGGCCTCTTAGTTAGTGTCAGACTACTATTGTCATATTACTGACTGCATGTGAATACACACTATTCATGTGAAATTGCCCATGTAATGTTATTTTGTGGGTTGTCATGCACAATTAATGAGTTAGGTGGGAAGATGTTTGTTGCAGTAAATACATGCCTTCAGTTATGTCCATTAAAAAAAAACACACCAAAATTTACCTTTAACAAGGTACAGATAACTTAGCCCCTTAGAACTTAATGGGTTTTTAGCTGTTCTTGGACCCTTTTGGCAGTCAGACTGGGGAAGCCTATGAGCCCCTTCTTCATATAAGGTTTTAAATGCATAAAATAATAGGATTACAAAGGAAACTAATTATATTGAAATACAGTTATCAAAATATTTTTAAAATAAGTTCATAGATTCCAGGTTAAGAATCCTTGCTCTAAGAGTCTAGACTATAAGCTCCTAGAGAATAAGGACAATGCTATATAAATTATTTTTAAATCTCTTAAACAAATCTAGCAATCTGTGTAAAGGCTCTTCCTAATTGGAGATATAAGAAAAAACATCCTGTGCTAAAAATGGGTCATACCACACAAAGGGAAAACCAAGTTGATAGAATAAACTCAATTCAATGAATATTTATTGAGGGCACACAAAGTGCATGGATTTAAACCTTATAATTTACAAAGGTAGAAAAGTGCAACTAATTAGGTGTTTGAAAAGGAAAAAACTGCATATTCATTTACATAAATACAAGTGAATCATTTAATGTCAGGCTCAGATTGATAAAGAATAGATATCAGGAGACAAAAAAAAAATAAACATTTTTCCTTCTACTTGAAATAACTTTGTGCCAAGATGAATTAGCCACTCGCCCTGTGGTGGGAGACCAGAAGGCTAGAGAGACTAGAAGAAAAACATGTATTTGGAGAGGCACTGTCTTGTCCTACTTGGACAAAGCAGCCAAGAACATGAGAAAATAGATCAACATTATATTGGGAGGTTAAGGAGGAATCAATCACAGTTTGAACAAAATACACAACTAAATACAGCAACCAAATTCCTAATTCTGAAGTTTCCAGTACTTGTGATAGCACTTAGAGCCATCTGGAAAGGCTGCTAGAGTAGTGCCCCCTTTGAAAAGAGTGGTTTAAAATTAATTTCCAGTGCTACAACTGTCTTTTCAAGTATGGCTCTGGCACAGGTACTTAGCCAATATAGAGAAAAAGCAGCAAAGAGGTCAAGTACATAGGATGTAAGAGTGATTTGGCATCTCTAAAATTCCCAACCAATGTCTTCATCAGTAAGAATACAATTAGGCTCAGTCCAAGTCGACACTGGGGGCACTGCCACTGGCCATTGGCTATAAGCAGGAGGCAGCAATGAAAGAATTGAATCCTGGGTTTGTTCTTTTATCTGTTAAAGAAAAAAAAAGAGCAAAACAAGATTTTTTGGTACATAAATTCAAAATCTTAGTTCTGTTATCAGAATATAAATTTTTTTTGTCAGAAATGACAATGCAATTTTTTTGCCTAAACAATGACTTTACAAAACAATTTCTTGGCATTGACCCTAAACCTGCTTTGATTCTGGTAATCTAATAAGGGAGGAAGGCAACATGCCAAAGGGCTATAGAAGCAGAAGTTCCCAGGATAAGTTTGCTCTCAGCAGTTTTAAGACTATCTAACTTAAGAGAAATTGTGCTTTGTAGCAACCTTTTTGGTCCATGAGGAAAAATAAATGCTTAAAAAGTAATTCAAATGTTACTTGAAGACATAACTATGTGATTGTAATCTGTGTGTATGTATATGTGTATGTGGCTGTGGTTTTTCTGGGGTTTTTTTCCTGCAACTTCAATATCCCACAAAACCTTTTTAACTTTTAACAGCCAAATCAAAGATCATTTATTTAATAACATTATCTTGTTCTTGCCCTTATGCACTTATCTACTGTTTACAAAGATCCCATCTCCACAACAGACCAGCTCACCTGTCTGAAAAACGCATGTGACAGCAAAGTGCTTGCTGATGGTCTGGAATAGAAAAAAAAGATTGATTAAAAAAAGAGAATGTAGCTTTCTTTTAAACAGTGAATTCTGAGTTTAAGGAATATGTCAGCATTTGGAGCTAAAGTTTTATAGGTTCAAAGAATCACTGCATGAAGATTTCAATAGGGGAAGAAAGAAAATTCCACACTGGTACAAATACAGGCTTTTCCCCTCCCAAACCCAGTCTGTATCAAACCAACCTGCCTGAAGCTTCAGTGCCAGAGGCACAATCTAAGCCTGCCTTGCCTCAGA